AAGTCTATGCCCAAGCCTAAGCCAAAGTCAAAGTCTGAGACTAAGCCTCAACCTTTAGCCTAAGCCTGATCCTAAAGCTTTGCCTAGGAGTAAGCCCAAATATTCCCTTCCTGGCGCCCTTCAAGATCCGATCGCGACGAAAGGTCGGGCGCCGCTTTTTGATCGTTTCCTCCTGGGAAAACCGGGGGCTTTGATCCCCCGGATTCATATTATGGTGCTAATTTGCATATGCTGGGTGGTTAGGGGCTAGAAAAGGGCCAGATGGGGCTCCGGACACGGTGCCAAGATGGGATAATCGAGATCGATGGCCAGGGGGCAGCTGGCTTTTCCCACATTTTCTTCGGGGTAGAATGTCTCTGTCTCTCTCTCTCTCTCTCTCTCTCTCTCTCTCTCTCTTCCCATGCTCACTTAGGGCCCTGTCAAACACATCCATTGAAGAGGGCCCACCAACCCCTCGATTAGCCTCAAGGCATGTCATGCATTACAGACAGCCAGCGGGCCCTTGAGCGGGTTGTAAACAAAAAAAATAGACGAAATTGAAGGTTCCTGGACCTTTTACTAAAGCCACAGTAAAGGAACGCCCATTCTGGACAACTTACCCAAAAAGCAAAACCCTTCGCACCGGGCTGGGGTCGAACCCAAGCCTTGTGTCTGACAGGCTAGGGGCTTAACCAATTGGGCAAAGGTAAGCGGGGCAAAAAAGACTGAAATGGTTAAGTTGCAAGTTTATTTTAACTATTTTTGGCGATTCCACAAAGTCTCTCTGCTAGCCTGCCAACGGTTTCTCACAGATGGTGATAACACCGACTGAAATGAGTTTTCCAGGAGGTCAACGTCGCGTCGAACCCGCTGCAGTGCGACTGTTCGCTTTGGGAGTGGGTATCGTGGGCGGATAAGAGGTAATTTGCATATTTCTCTCTCGCTTTCGCTCTCTCTCTCTCTCTCTCTCTCTCTCTCTCTCTCTCTCTCTCGCTCTCTCTCTAGCTCTCACTCTCGCTCCTTCTCTCTATCTGTCTGAAATTCCAATTCTAGAAGCGTCGTCGATCCGTCCACTCTCCCCTGCAATGAGACGGTGGCCGAGATGCGGCTGTATTCGAGCGAGAAAGTGAGGTTTTCATGGGCCCGGCAAGGCATCGTTATGGATTTTATTTTTGCTCATTTCTGCTTTTTGACTATTTTTTAAATTTTACTTCTATTACAGTTTAAAGGGGTCAGAAAGCCAAATTTTCGCCTTGACAGTCTCTTTAAAGTTTCGCTCTCAAATATTCCGGATTTTGGGTTCCAAAGGGCTATTATTACATCGTTGGTTTCCAATATATTGAGAGGGACGTGGGGGATATGAACGCGATCTCTCTCTCTCTCTCTCTCTCTCTCTCTCTCTCTCTCTCTCTCTCTCTCTCTCTCTCTCTCTCTCTCTCCCATCCCCCTTTAATGGACATTTGGAGATTGTGCATAGGAGTGGTGTGGAAGCTCCCGCTCCCCCGAAATTTGACCCGTCATAAGGGTCGTCAGCCCGATGAAAGGATATCACTAGCCCCCAGAGGGGCCACCACCCACTACGCGACAATCCCATGGGAACTCCCGGGGGGTTCGCGGGCCAGCGATGAAATTTAGTGAATTTCCTGCGGGGTGTTTGCTAGATTTCCGGGCCGACGATGGTTCGACTCCTAAATGGTCCCTGTCGGTGAGAAAGACAAAGAGAGAGATAGAGACAGAGAGCAAGAGGGATAGCTACAGTGAGAGAATAAGCGTGAGAGAGAAAACTGAAGCATTTCCTAAAAAATCTCTGCCATATTACCCTAGGAAAATTCTATAAGGCCCTCAAACAGACTAGCAGAGATCATTTGCGCCATTCCAGAAATCGTGCGGCCCGATGGTGGATGGTCACTCTGAGGTGGAGCGGGTCGAGCTCGCGCAGGGCCAATCTACCGTACTCTGCTGCACGGTGAGTATTTTTGGGTTTTCGAGACCCTGGCTTGCGAGTTCCTTTAAAGGGATAACGACGGCCAATTCTGTTAGTCCGCTCACGTCCCGGTTTTTATATAGTGTAAATGGTTGGTTTCTGCCAATTTCAGATTATGGATGTTACCGTTTCCCTTTAAATATCATCAGATTTTCAGGTTTCCGCACTTCCGGTGGCGGCCGTACACTGGATTCACGGGGGAATTGTGCTGGGCCAGACGGAAGCAACCACGATTTCGGACGGAGGTAAGAAGAAGGAAGAGAGAGAGAAAGAGAGAGAGAGAGAGAGAGAGAGAGAGAGAGAGAGAGAGAGAGAGAGAGGGAAAGAGAGAGGAGCAAGTGAGAGAGAGAGCAAGCTACAATAAAACCAAACATTAGCCCGCGTTCGCCACTGTATCGACGTCCAGGAGGGGAGTGGAGATGCGTACGGGGAGTATCAGTGCGTAGCCTCGGCTAGTGGACGGAACGCTTCAAAAAGGTGCTTAAAATTATTTTTTTAACGTGTTTTTTTTTTGATTTCCAGCTTCTTCATCGATACACCGAGGCGGATGCTGCCGCCAAAACCGCCACATTCTCTCTTGTTTTATGGGCAATTTAGGTCAGTAACTGTTTCACTCTCTTTCTCTCGCTTTCTCTCTCTCTGTATCTCTAGCTCTCGCTCTCCTCTCACACTCTCGTTACCAGAAAATTTTTTAATTTCATGCTCCAAGTTATCCAAAAACCCTATATAATTAATATTACAGTTTGGTCATCTTCCTGTTCGTCTTCTGTTTCGCCTCGTACTGCATCATTCGTCGCGATAAATCGAGGACAAAAACCGATGATTTATGCCGAAACGGTGGCCATGTGATACCGATCCTGGTTGACGATGGCTACGACAAATCGATGCACGATTTCCGGATGCAAAAAGGTGAGACAGGGCGAGCTAGCACGGGTTTTTGTTAAAGACCTGCTGTAAACTAGCATCGTCGCGGAATACTGGCAGAAAACGGCCGAAACTCCTGTAGAAGAGGCTTATCATTAAGGCACGAAGTTTAAGCTTAAGGATATAGCATTGGTGCATCTTAACACCCACACAATTTTTAGAATCCCCGCGCTCCGGCCTCTACGTTGGGCATCAAGATGAGGAATGGCTGGGTGAGGGCTGGGTGCAGCCTAGATATATCCACTCCATACACCAACAACATCATCACCAGCACTATGGAGATGACGACCTCCTGGCGCCGTTGGCCGCTTTTGATCCCGAGTCGCGGAATAGTATAACATTAGCGCATACGGCTGTCTGAATCTGGCGTTGTCCGTCTCGTCTCGACGCTCTCCCTCTCTCTCTCTCTCTCTCTCTCTCTCTCTCTCTCTCTCTCGCTCTCTCTCTAGCTCTCTCACTCTAACATCTTTCTCATAGCTCTCTCCGTAATTCTCGTCTCTCTCTCTCTTTCTCTCTCGCTCTCGATCTGAATTTTTAGTCATTCCAAAGGGACACAAAAACGTCAAAAACCCAAACTTCCGAGCTTCAGTTTCCCATGTGCAAAATCGAGACCTATTGACCGTCCATATCGCGCGCGTTCACGTGAAAACGTGGCTTCACATGGGGCGCATGGGCCCTCCGCTATAGCCACGTGGGCCACGTGCAAGCGCGCTTTCCCATGTTCTCGCCATGCTGGCCGGGCGCTTCACGTGTATCTCCCGCCTCCCTCGGCAGCCCGCATGAATCATTGGGTGGCTCTGGGAACGAATTCGGCTAGCGCAATTTTTGGACGATTTGCTTCCTAAACAGCCTCTGCTAACTGACGTATTTTTACAGAATTAGAATGACTGGAAACTGACCAGAGAACTTCTCTATTACTTCAGAAATTGCATGGAATATTTGTTCCAATTTTTGTTTACCCTGTCTATCTTTGTCTTTCTCTCTCTCTCCCTCTCTCTCTCTTTCTCTCTTTCTCTCTCGCTCTCTCTCTCATCCAACCACCCACATATTCCCTACCGGTGCTCCCGTGATTTTTTTTAGACCAAACTAATCCAATAAATTTATCACATACGCGAATTGAATCAATTTCAGCAAATTCAGGCATCGTGCAAATTACGCACAAAACTCCACTCGCGGATGCCCGATTCTTCCGATGCGCAAGTTGTAGCAGCAAAAGCCAAGTCAGGAACACACTTTATTCGCCTCGAAAAATCACACACGTACCATCTCCAATCACAAGCACAACACACAATTGATCAAAACAATTCCGGTTAGCGGGTATTTAGTGTTGAAACCTAATTTTTGATCAGTGATTGCAAGTAAATGGATGGATTGATGGATAGATAGATGTGTGGATGGATGGATGCATCTGTAGGGCAGGCGGGTGCAGAGTAGACGATCATTCGAGGTGGCCCTTCTTCTAGACTTGGGGCTTCTCGTTGAACGCCTTCGGGTTCTTGGATGGCAGGAACGGGCGCTTCTCGTTGCTGTCACCTGTAAAAAGCCGTGGTCTAGAAAAAATAAGCTTCTTCCCCCCGATAATGCACAAGCTCCGAAAAAGTCCCACCATCCTGGTGCTTGCCCTCCATGCTGGATGGGCGGTGCTCGATTGGCTTGTTCCGGTTTCTCTGGAGGATGACGACGCGGGTGACTAAAGGGATTGTAAAGTGGTGAAAAAGCGCATTTTCCTCAAGAATCTCTGCTAGTTGGCCCTGAAAACTAGAAATACCCACGCAAAGCCACAACAGCGATCAGGGCCACGGTTCCGATGATTGAGCACGAGATGATCATGATGATCTGCCCACGACGGAGGGTGCGAACTGAAAAATGGATACCTCTCTCTCATCCTCTCTCTCTCTCTCTCTCTCTCTCTCTCTCTCTCTCTCTCCATCGACCTCCCTATCTACCGTACATTCGCACTCTCCCCCCGGCAGCACCCTCTTGACCTCGTGGATGGATTGGCACTCGGCGCTGCACAGGAGGGCGTCTTCTCCGGTGCATTCTGGAATCGTCAGAATTTGGAGTTTCACACTTTATCCCACTTGCAAACGTGCAGATGGTCTTGTTCTGCTTGTCAACGGTCATCGAGTTGATCCGCTCGAAGCCGATGCACGTGTAGTCGTCGTTAGCCGCCCAACAGGCCAGCGTGTTCTTCAGCCCCGCACACTCCTTCGCCGGCTTCAGGTCTGAAATCGAGAGCTTCGAATGTTCCCTCGGAAGTTTGGCTTGGCTTGGCTTCGGCTTAGCTTAGGCTTGGCATTGGCTTAGGCTTAGGCTTAAGCCTAGGCTTGACCCAGGCTTAGGCTTAGTGCTTACTTGGTAACTCGTTGGGGTTGATGAGCTGGCAGCTGTCGTGGTCGCCGACGGACTTGATATGCCAATAGGGCATGCAGATTTTCTTGTCGCCCTTCTCGCGGATGGAACATGGATGGTGGCCGATGGGGCAACCTGGAAATAGATCGATGTTTTTATGGATCGAAAACGAGACCCACGATCATCGTGGCACTCCCTCGTGCGGTCGTTGAAGTAGCGCAGGTCGGCGGCGCGAAATCGCGGCGTGTACATCTGGATGCAGATCGGGTCGTACTTGCCGCAGTTGACGTGGGCGGCCGGGCATACTGGGAAGAGGAACGTATCGTACCTGAAAGCGGATTACCTTTAGATTCAGCCGACGGCTCGCATGTGCCGTTGTCGTGGATAGTCTTGATGTAGGAGAAGAAGGTGCACAACGAGTCGCCGTTGGGTTGCTTGCAGGGGAAGTTGGAGGGTTCTTCGTTGCAAGCTGAAAAGCGGCGGTCTGGCAACTGCGTTAAATACCAGTCAATGTGCAGATCCTCGTCGTTTCGTTGTAGCTCTTGATCTCCTCGGCCGGCACACAGAGCGGCGCTTCGCGCGTTCCGCAGTCCACGGTACCCGGCTTCTGGCAGCCTAAGCAGAAACGATTATTTCATCTCATTCGTCCCAACCAGAAAATGTCCAACTGCTGGGGAGATGGCCCTCACTGAGCATTTGGAAGGAGACGCAGTAGGAGCCATCTGCGATCGCAACCTTGGCGCGGCCCATCGGGCAACCTGAAAGAATTACTGGTAAGTCTGGTTTAGATAACGGTCTAGGTTTAATATGACTCTCATTCTGAAACGAAATACCTTTGACTTGACAGCTCGTGGCATTGAAGTTGGCCAGCACTTCCTCCATCACGCAGATTGGCCGGCCATCCTTCCCAGGGCAAACTTTCTCGTCTGGACGGCATCCCGTAGATGCCGAAGAGTTCTGGGCGACGAGGCCGCACGTCCACATCCCGAGGGCCAGCACGCAGGTGAGCAGGTAGATTGGGGCCACTCCGGGCATGTCTCTGAAACGGCTGGCATCGTCAAACAAGGGTTGGATGCTGCCATTTGCATACGGTTTTCACATGCAAACATTGAGGAAGCAGGTAGCGACCAACCTGAAGCTGGCCGCTGAAGAGCGCTGCGGGAGCGGGCAGATCAAAATGCTTTTAACCGACGAAACGCGCCCTTTTAGATAAGAAATACATTCAAAGGACGGGCAAACGCATTCTAATTATGAGATTAGACTACCACATGCAAATTCTTAATTTGGCATGATTTCATGATTCATGCAAATTCAGGGTTTCCACCTTTTGCTTCTCGTTCGTGAGTGTCTCTGACCTCCCGTCATATGGCATCAGCCGCAATGCTTTGAGCCTTGAGAAACGCGACTATTTAGTGCATGGCCTTCCGATTTCCCAGGATGATCAGGTTTCATCTGTTTTATAGATAAAATCTCAAGGCTTTGGGAATTGAAAGTCCAAAAAGGCGCAAAGGGCAAGCTGTCATATCAGGTTGGAACGAACGTCCTGCCGCCGAGATTTTGGAAGGCCGGCTAAAACGTAGATAGCTCCTTTCTGGACGTGCAATATGTCATTCTGTAGCTCTCAGGCTGGGCCGTTTCCGGACGATGCTCCTAGGCCCTCAAAATCAAGAACGGCCAAGATAGAGGCTCAAGATGATCATGTTTTTATTGAAACGCGCGATTTCAGAACGACCTCTGCATCTAATTAACGGCTACTTCCGGTCATTTTGCTTGCGGAAATTGAGGCAAATTAGCTCGCATGCAACCTTGAAAAATATCGCCTTGACATAAAAACATGGTTTTGAAAATTGTTGCAAATTCGCCGTTTGAAGGGCCGTTTCAATGAATGGTGTAACTACCATTCCGATCCGATATTTTCGCGTCGAGTTAGAGGGGGTGTTTTTTTATTGGGACACCCTGTAGATATCGATAGATGTTGAGATCATCAAAATTGGACAGAAGATCGCCGAAATATATGACGCTGAAATCTGGCACATTTTAGAGCTTTTCCTGAAATCCCATATATTTTGTCGAAATCCGCTCGACGCGTCCAAAAAGAAGGCGGCCATTTTCGGCACCTGTCTGTGAAATGGTTGGAAATGTATGGGATTTCAGGAGGATTTCAGGGGATTTTTATATATAGTAGGATTCGTGCACGGCAAGTAAAGAATTTATTATAAAAATCGGGCGAAGGGTATATCTTAAAAATCGGCCGACGGCTTCGTGATGAGGAGGATGAAGACGGAGTTCACGAGATGCCGGAACCGGGATGAGGACGATACTGATAAAAGGGAATAGAATACTACGACATGGCCACACGTTACCTTCCGGTTCGGTTTTTTCCTGGGCAGCCGGCGGAGGGGTGGGCCTCGCAGCAGCCTTCTCCTCGGCTGTGGCAAGGACACATATGTCTCCTCCTTTCTTGTAACGGACCGACTTCAGGTCGTCGTAGGAGAGGCATTCCGTTCCGTTTTCTCCTTTGCACGGGTGCATCGTAGGCGGGCAGCCTAAAAATTGTGGCGCGCTGTTAAAGCCTTGGCAAGTTCCGCGTCGATTCCCTCCAGTCTCACGAACAGAAAAATCAGTGCCACCCACCTTTTTTGATGCAGCCTCCCGCGCTCGCGTTGTATGCCGTGATCACAGCGGCGTTGAGGCAAATTGGCACGTAGTTGCCGCAGTTGATGTAGTAATCATAGATGCAGCCTGTATTCGCGAGATGTAAGTGACGCGGGAGACGCGTAACGACATCAAATACCGCCCCAAGCCGGCCCTCCCCCGACAGTATATCGGGTCCCCGCGGCGCTCCAGGGCTTTAAAGTATCTCAAAATACTCGCCAGAGCAAGACGAACATTTTCGTTTATTTTGCACACCCGTAGACCGCCAGGGACGAGAGATACAAAAGTTGGTGTTGGAAGGGGCGGGTATCTGCAGCCTGCCAATAAAACGTAGTACTTACCGTCCCACCACCAACCATATGGCAGAGTACCGTTAGTCATGCGATTGCGCGGGAGGCAATTGCGTTTGTCGCCGACAAGACTCGGTAGCTCGCCCACGGGACAACCTGGAAACATTGGGGACATGGGAAGGAACGTCAGGAGCTATCTATCAAAAGACGATTGTTCGGTTCTCGTTCATTAGCGGGGGTTGGGGGACGCGAGGGCATGGGGGAAAGGCGAGGGAAGGCTTATTGGGAAAGGAACAGTAGAACCGCTGCGGCTTTCCCGCAGCTAAAAGGGAGACGGAAGCTGACCACGTGCCTCTGAAATCGCAAGCTCCTGATTCGGGATCGACGAGAAACTGCTTCAGGGTGCAGAGGAGGACGCCGTCTTTTCCCGGGCACAACGTCCACTTCTTCACACAGTCTGAGGCCGAATAACTGCCTCCTCGCAAGGATACCTTCGCAGTCGGGGGAATCCTTATTACACATCGCTGCAGTCATTGTCGTGTTTGCGGCGTTCAGTCCGCCGGTGTAGAGGACGAAGACGAGCAGGTAGACGAACAGCATGGCTCAAAAATTTTCGAAAGATAAAGCCCAGAGTCTGACCGTCCAGAATCTACGCTGCTAAACTGGAGATAGATCCGAAAATCGCACCTCATATGCTACTTTACCGGATTCAAATTACGAGAGGCCTTGAGAGGCGAGAGGCCATGCCATGATCGAAATAATTTATTCAGACTGTCTATCTAGGTCTTTCTCTCTATCTCGCTCGCATGCTCGCTCTCTCTCGCTCTCTTTTCTGACCTTCTCTCTATCCAACCAGCCTTTTGCTCTTTTTTTCTGCTTTCTTTCCTTTGCTACAACTGTTGCCTACTGATGCTCCCGTGGTTTTTCTGGACCAAATAAATCCAATAAATTTATCACATACGCACATTGAATCAATTTCAGCAAATTATGGGCATTATGCAACTTAAGCACAAAACTGATTAAAGTGGCCAACGGCCTGATATGTTGTTGCGGGGAAAGTGAATTAACGGGGGGGTGTGGGAGAATGGAGGCCGAGCTACGGTGCAAACGATTAGGGCAGGAAAGGCACTGGGTTGAGGGGTGGAGGGGTGCGGTATCAAGTACAGTATTCAGGGGTGTATTGGTTACACAAATAATACGGCGGTTTCAGAATTTAGCTTTGAAGGTAGACAGGATCGCTTGATTGTGGCGAACCACCTGAAAATGGTTTTTTTTCGTAATTTAAGGTTTTTCAAATTCCCAAATGAGCCAGATAGGCATGATCCCGACAGACTAAAATACCGACAAAAAAGGCCAACAGCTAAAATCCCGACAGCCAAAAGCCCGACAGATTCTTGACGCCAACTTGAATGCAACTTCTTTTAACGAGCTATTTCGGCTGTCGGGATTTTAACATGCCGGGATTTTGGCGGTCGGGATTTCGGGAGTGAGATCTTGTTCTGTTCGGATTTTGGGGTTTCCACTAAAATTACGGTCACTACGCGAGCGACAAACCTATGGACAAGTGGCGGTTGCGTAGAGGAGGGGTCGAAGTAGCAGACGGCCAGCATGACCACGATCACGTTCAGAATGAAGGCGCCGAGCACTGGAAAATACGGTAGCGTACGGCACAGTATAGTACGCCATGGTCCTAGATAAGAGACTAGGAAACCTAACTTCACATTTTCGTGTCGTAATCGATTACGCAATAAAAAGCCTGGATGAACTCACCAAAGAAGAGGGCCGAGTCGATGGACGACGGGTCGGCGGATGGGTCGTCGAGCGTCATCCCGAATTCATGGTAGCTGCAAAAGAAAAAATGTAATGGATTTATTTTCAAATTTTTAGATAAAATCGGGGTTTTTCGGACAGAATTGGGCAGATTCGCGGATTGTCTTGGGAACGTTTTTGAATTTTTTTAGGGGCCTACAAAATTGTAAAAATTCTGAAAATTACAAGAAAATATTTTTCCGAACAATTCTGGGTGCAATTACCCCCGGAATTCAGGCCCTAATTTTGCTTTCGCGCCCCGTAATTTGTATTCCCTCGGCGAATTTATTAATGGGATCTACGGAAAAAAGTTGGTTCTCGGAAATGCCAGAAAAAGTAATTTTTGTAACTGTAATTTTTTGGAGCATTTTGCAGGCAGAAAGCAGGTTATCTGGGTAAAAGATTTGAATACGCTTAAAGGGGCTCCGAAATCTGGTCCACGGCCCCCTGCCGTGATTCCTGGCAAATAGCCAGATGCGGCCGCAACCCGACCGCTCCGCATAATCTTTTGCCTCTGTTTGGACGCGAAAACGCTTGAATTTAAAAATTCTGATACTATTTTTGGAATCCGCAACGAATTTTGATCATTCCAGACTTTTAAATTATGAAAATTGATTAGAGAATCACCAAGATCGAGAGATTGGGTGCCTTACAAGGCATTACGACATGTAATCGCCGCCCACTCAAAATGTCGTTTTCGCCCCACAAACAATTCGGTTTTTCTCAAACATTTTACGTTTTTTCGCAATCAAATCACTATTTTGGCACTTCTCGGCAGTGACGCTTTCGTGTTTTCACCCCTAGGTTCAATCCCCGCACGCACGAATTTTGACTTCTGAGCCCCTTTAAGTAAACTTTAAGAATTTCGCAAAAGCTCGCTTTAATTCTGGTTAGATAAATCTTTCTTGAATATTTTGTAAAAATCCTAGCATTTTTTCTTAATTGCTTAATTTGTTTCAAATTGTATATAAGCAATACCATGGTCTTAACTCATTAAAAATTCTAATCAAATTAGTTTAGTTTGCTTTTAAAAAGTATTTTACGATTTATTAATTTATTTAATAACCCATTTTTAGAGCAAATTTTAACAAAGAACGCAGTGGAAAGCGGAAATTTGCAAAGAAAAAGCCAAAAGGCCACCATGCAGGCCAATTTCCCGGGGTTCCGGTTGTTCGGTCGTTGGGCCCAAAAAAGGCTTCTTTGCAACCGGCCGGGACCTTTGACGTGTTTCTTCTGGAGGGCAATTTTTAGGGGGAGGTAATTCCCGAGGTCTTTGCTCGTTTCCGGCAGGTTTTTGAGGCCTCCCGGAAGTCTCGAAAATTCCTAAATCATCACTGCTAGCTTGCCGGCTTCGGTAAAAGGTAATTCCGTAAGAAACCCTGTTAGACGGCTGGAAAAAAAGCGTAAGAAATAGAGTGAGAGAGCGATAAATCGACAGTGACAGAGAGAGAAAGAGAGAGAGAGATAGAGAGAGAGAGAGAGAGAGTGAGCCGGAGATAGAGAGAGTGAGCGGGAGATAGAGAGAGAGAAAGAGAGAGAGAGAGCGGGAGAGCGAGAGCAAGAGAGAGTGAAGGGGGGTGAGAGCGAGAGGGAGAGCAAGTGAGAAAGAGGCAAAGAGAAAGAGAGAAAGAGTGCGAGACAGTGAGACAGCGAGAGCATGAGAGTAAGAGATACAGGACGAGAGAGTGAAATCGAGAGAGTCCAGGAAGATAGAGAGAAAGCCTTAAAGCGCACGTTCAGGGACGTATATTGATATTGAACGTATATTGCCTATTGACGCCGAGAGACTGGGAAAAGAAGGAGACGCAGGTGTCAATAGGCAATATATGTTCAACGTGCCTGAACGTGCACTTTAAGTACCCTAAAGACCCACTACCGTGCCTTCCCAGCCCCTTTAACAACCCTTACCTCGGGCACCGATTCGCCGAATATTTTGGGAAAATCATGTCCTGTCCTGTAGTCTGTGTAGCGCGGGATCAGCGTTGTTATTCGCCGGTTATCCGTGGCAAGTTCAGAGCCCCCTATTTTCCTAGATTCGCCCCCATCTCAGGGGGATTCTAATTTCTCGGCACCCTGTCTGTCAACCTGTCAACAAGGCAGGTGCCACAAAAAAAACGACTGGACACGTCTTTCCTGTGAAAGGCGTTCGAAATTAGGTCCCGAGCGTATTGCCCAACAGGACCAAAAAGTTGCTGTTTAGGGGGGTCGTGTGGAAAATTCGGTTTAAAAATATTCGTAAAAACGTCTTGACTAGGCATAGAAAGGGCAGGCTAGCAGCGACCTTGGCGGAATTTTGTCGGCACTAGCACACTAGCAGAGATTATTACCTCCTCTTTAAAACCCTTCAAAACTAGACGTCAAAAAGGTGGGCGGGTCAGCCAGGTTTTCTAAAAAGCAACAACCCCCAGTCTCTGTTCTTGACTCTTTGCGAATACAATGGCCCGTTTCTTGGAAATGCTGAAAATTTGATGACAAGGCCAGGGGGGGCGTCTCCTTTTTGAGGCGTGGGAGAGGGCTAGGAATAGATTTTTTGACCTAGGGGTCTGCGTAAAAATTGCGGAAAATGAGGGTAGCCAGCAGAGATCGTTTGAGAAAAATGAACACAAGGGAGTGAGAGAGAGAGAGACGGGCAGGGAGAGAGCTAGAGGAGAGTTTTGAGGGTCTAAGTCTTAGCTACGGTAGCTTGAGATGCTATAGTCAGCCAAGAAAACCTGAGAAAAAGCGGATATTTTCAAGATCTTTGAGGCCCAGCTGGGGAAAGGAGAGGCGACGCCTCTAATCGTGGAGATTCTCTTCATTATTCAGGAGCAGAGGGATCCACTAATAAAAGAAAGAACATGTGATCAACCCCATATGGAAATAGTATCGGAACGGAATGGGATGAAGAAGTAAAGGATCAGAAATTCTTGAAAGGGGATAGAGTGAGAGAGAGCACGAGTGAGAGAGAGAGAGAGAGTGAGAGAATAAGAGAGAGTGAGCGAGAGAAAAGCAGTGATATACGCAGCAGAAGCCTTTTTGACCTCAGCGCCAGTTTTTCTGGATTCTGACCCAAACATGGGCCATATATATGCAAACTATGGCTTCTAATCTGGATACCGTAACCTCGAGAACTTTATTCTTATCGGGGTGCCGGACTGGATTAACATTTCCGCACGTATGGACGAAGACGAAATGAAAGTTCCTGGTGGTGGTAAGCTACAGGCAAGCTAGCAGAGATTCCTTGAGAGATTCCTTGAGAAGCGGGCAATTTGGCGATCTTGCAGGTTCTTTGGGGAATTAGGAATGCCGTTTTACGAAGATTTCTAAGGGGGTTTACCATAAATTTGCTGCGTTTTGTGCTGAATCAATTTCAACGAAATAAAATGCCGAAAAGATGCACTTTCGAAAAATTGGAATCTAGACAAACCGATTTTTGACAAAGCGAATTTCGTTAAAATGCATTCCGATATACTGCTAGTCAATCACAACCGGCGACGTAATAGCATTTTTTTGGGAAACTGGCAGGGATAATTTGCGGAGAACTTAAAATACGAAAGGCAGGCTAGGAACCCGAGTGAGAAAATATCGAGCAGCTTCCGGTTCAACTTCCAATCCCAATTTTTCCCCATTTTTAATCAAGCGGAACCAAAAGTTGGTCTTTTGGTCGGGCTGGAAAGGCCAACCTGTTAATGGTCAGATCCGGAAATGAGGAATTCATCAAATGAAGGGCAAGCAGGCAGGGCAGGAGGCAGGCAATAGCTTTTTTCGCTCTTTGAATTGGGCCCCGTTAACCCATAGGTCTAGGACCAAAACGGCTGGTGTCCAATTTTACACCTCTTTTCGGACGGGGCTGAACAAAGAGGGATGTCAGAACTCGTCAAAATTGAGATTGAAATGGACCCCGGGAAGGGTTCAACGATCGCAAGGGGTCTCTGCTAGCCTGCCCTGGTCCGGAATTTCCGTAAAAAGCTTTGCTAGCATGCCCGAAACAGGCGATAGCCATAATACCGACAGCGAATTAGCTGGTTAAGGGAAGTGCCATTCAAAAAAAGTGGCTGAATATGTCGGGATTTTGGCAGTCGATCATCTGGATGCTAGGATTTGGACTGTCGGAATACTCGCCTGTCGGCATTTTTGCCTATCGGGATTTTGGCCTGTCGATATTTTCCTTGTCGGGATTTTCGCCTTTGGGGGATTTTTGGTTGTCGGTATTTTGGTCCTTCGGACTTTGCCGTCGGGAATTTGGCCTTTCGGGATTTTTAAAGTAATTTAAATGCCACTTGAAGGCAAATCTACAGACAAAATACTACAGTAAAAAATGTCGAAAATTAGAATGCCCAGCTCAGAATTTCAAACGTCATAATGTCGAATTTTACCATCGTGAAAATCCCGGGAAAGCTTTAATTAAATTACATAAATTCCAGATCTTGAAATGCCGACATTGCGGAATATCGGCGTTTTAAATTTTCGACAACCTGATTTTTTAAGTCACGAACCTAAGACATCAGAATTTCGCATTTCTGATAGCATGCCGTGAATTAAAGGCCCCCTAAAGGCAAATCCATACCGATAGCGGTCCTGCCCCAAAAGCTCCTGGCTCTGCTGCTTTGCGTCCCTTAAATTAATTTAATCCAAAAAATCGCGTGTGATTTCCACACCCGCCCATCATCACCGTGCGCACGCGCATCATCACCGGAATCCCATTCTCCGAGCCGAACAGGTAGGAATTCATCGCGCGAGGGGGTACGGTAGCACTTCCGTCAGGGGCGCAAAATATGAACCCTCAGCCCCCAGACCCCGAAAAATTTAATTACCATCTCATCGCCCCGAATTTTCACAAATTCCCCGTGACAAATTGGTTTTAGGCTTCGGAGTTTTTTCGGGGATGATTGACAGCCGGGTGGCGTGGGTTTTCTTGGATGATTTTCGGGCCCGCGGCGGGGTAAGCCCAGGCAGGCGAACAAAACTGTTCCCCCGGAAAAAAACATCTCAAAAATTGGCCGCCCAGCATCTAGAAACGCGTAATTTGTCGGCGAGTGC